TTATTGAGCATTAGGTCTCAAAGCTGAATGAGTTCCTGATTCTGTTATCGGCGTCGTGGTGAGGAAAAGTGCATATTCACAAGATAGCGTTGATAGAAAGATAGTTGTAGAAAAATGCGAAGTTTCTGGCAGTTATAATTTTAGTTTTATCCGTGTCTGTTGGTTCGGGTCAGCTGAGGAAAAGTGAAATTGAATTCGGAAAGAAATAGTATATGTTGCTGCTCTGGTGGAGTCTGTGGGAGAATTTTTAGGTTGACCGATGAAGATTCAGATGAGGTCCACTTCAGATATCTCTGTTGCTCATCGACTTGCCCGAGATATTGATACTGGTATGCTATGGGTTAACACGTGGATGGAGAGGGACCTCAACACACCTTTTGGAGGAGTCAAACAAAGGTGGGCTTTTGGGAGGGGCGTTATACACTAGAGTTCCTTCACCCTAGTGATATGAAAAACACTGGTTAAAAACGTATTTCACGACTACTGCATATCACCGGGAATATCGCGTTTTTCACAGAGTTTTACGCCACTTCACGTAAAACGGGTGAAACTCCACTATGTGAGTAACGCGATATAAAGGGAATCGAAAATACTTGGCAAATTTCACCGGAACAAATCACCCCATATCACGTACAACACATCACGCGTTATTCGCGGAGTGAAATATGTTTTTCACTAGTGTTTTTTATATCACGGGTGAGACTCCACCATATGCAATCCTCGTTGAAGTTTCAGCCGGAAATACAACGTCAGATGCTAAGCTTTCTGATTTGCCCGAGAAAAATAGGAAAGAAACTAAGAAATAGAAAATCCAATTTACCTAAAAAATAAAAAAATAGAAATAGAAAATCTAATGAAAAGAAAAAAAATAAAAAATAATAAAAATTAGAAAATCTAATTTACCTAAAAATAGAAAAATAGAAACAGGAGATCTAATTCACCTAAAAAATGAAAAAAAATAAAATAAAATAAAATAAATAAAAATTGTAAAATCTAATTCGCCTTAAGAGAACATTCTTTATTCTGTCTTGTAGTGGCCTTGGTCGTGAAGGCGGAGATTACTCTATGAACTTCTATTCCAAAGAAAAAGATGTCACCATGAGTTTGTCGTAAAAGATCGATATTGTGTTTCCCTGTGTTCGTGGTTAACTTTCGTGTTGTTAATATAAGGTTCGCTTCTACTAGTGTGGGGAGTTTTATAGACTCTGGTGGATTTAATCGATGCAAATGTGTGTTATTTTGTAGAACAAATTATAGTGAACAAGTTGTCGCTATCATCACAGTCCCAAACGGGTACTTTCATCACAACATATGTTCATAGCTATTGTTACATTGGAGTTTTACGACCGTGATATGAAAAACACTAGTAGAAAATATATTTCACGACTACTGCATATCACCGAGTTTGACGCCACTTCACGTTAAACGGGTGAAATTCCAGGGTTCTTTTATTTTCTAATGCGGCACACTATAAACAACCCTATAGTTGGAATGCGACCGCATGTAAGTTTTTAATCCTTGCTAACATCTTGTAAATTTTTGGTAGGTCGTGGAGTCCTTGAAAGTTCCTGTGATCACTCCTGGTTTGAAGTTATCGGAACAGAATAATAGATCTAATTCGGTGTCTACTGATGGGAATAGGAGCAACAGATTGCAATTGCCGAGGAAACAGTCGCATCCTGAACGGGTGAGTGTGTTATTCTCATATTCGAAATGGAAAATTTCCGCTGAATTTTTCACCTAAGCATTCTCATTATATTCATCTTCTGTAGAATTTTCTTTATGGTGTATATATTATTTTCTGGAGTGTTGGTGACAATAGGAAAATTTTGAGAAAATTCTGGGAAATTCTTATTGGTTTCTGTACCCTTCTACCCGAATTCTATAATTAGTGAGGAACCTCCTAGGGATAGTGAACATATATTCCTACTCCAACACTGATTTCTTGGGTGGTAGAGGACTCTTAGGAACAGTTTGAGATTTATATTTGGTTTCCTCAACTGAGCTCAGGAGTTCCCTCACTATATTCATGAAATTTACATATGACTAAACGGACAAGTGTACAAAAAAACAACAAGAATTTTCCAAAATTTCCTTAAAACTTTCATATTTTACCAACATTTTTGTCCATTT